GGCATAGAGGATGAACTACTATAGTTCACCTTAGAGTTGGACGCGATGAGAATGTACAAATCGGAGCTTGCTGAGGAGGTCACGACGACCAATGGGGAGGCTTATGAGTTAGGAGAAGTGTTGGAGTTCAAGCTACTCTAGATACTGAAGTATCGAGAAGAAGTGGTCATCGACTATAAGACATCCATCGGTTCAAAAAGGGTTTAGAGAGGACTAGGGTTACCTCATACCAGTTCAGATATCAAATTGCTTTAGCATGTTTCTTAACGAGGTACCCCAAGCTGTAGTTCAAGGATAATCTATTCACAAACTACCTTGAGGACCAAAATGTCTCGATGCTAATCAAGATGCCCTTCAATGACAACCCTGACTTATTGCCTTGTCCTATCGCCTAAGCTGCCATCTCCAACTTAATCTCTTTAGTTGTCAAGTTGATCTACCCAACTTATTCCTTCTATCCACCCCATAAGTGCTTTTTTGATAAGCTAGGGCTTCATCTTAGATGTAGAAGCCCGACTTTGTTGATGCAATCCTTCTAAGAGTAGTAAACTTTTTTTTCTTAATTCATAACTGACACTTTAAAGATACCTCCTACAACTGACACCCTAGGCCTAACAAGGCAACACTTGGTGCTTGTGGCATCGTCCTCCCCAGTTTGATCTCGAGGGAGGCCTTACAGGTAAATCTTCTTCAAGTTTACAATATGCCACATTTTCGATAACACCACACCTTCTATTGTCTTGAGATAGTATGTTCTATCTTGGATGACTTAGATGACTTGATAAACCTTTCTCAATTTGGCATCAGCTTCCTTCGAGATATGATTGGGTTGTTGACTTTAGTTTTTTGGAGCACTAAGTCCCCTAATCCAACCCTTTAAGGGCAGACTCCTTGGTTATAGAGCTTGGCTGCTGCCCTTTTGTATCTCAGCGCTCATAGGTATGATTTGGCTCTAATTTTACTAATCAAGTTGAGATAGGCTCGAAGTCCTTCTTTAGGGGTTTCTTTGTCAAAGCTCTAAATTTAAAGTATCGAGAAGAATATCTCATATAGAAAAACAACTTCAGTGCCAAATGTCATATTGAATGGTGATTCTCCTAAGTCGGTCCTAGGTGTCATTTAGAAGGCTAATAAAATGCTTAGCAATTCATCCAACCATGTACTCTTTACTCTAACAATCCTCTTCTTTAATCATTCGAGAATGGCTTGGTTGGTGACCTTGGCGAGATCGTCATTTTGGCGATGAGCTACCAAGCTAAACCTCAATTGAATCCTATAAGATTGGTATAATTTCTTAAACTTTGTATTGTTAAATTAGGTCTCATTATTGGTGATAAGAGCCCTTGGGATTCCATAGTAGGTGATGTTGTTCTTCCATACAAATCTCTCAACTTGCTTCTCGATGATCAATGCTAGTGGCTCAACCTTCACCCATTTCGTGAAAGTCTACTCCCACAATTATGAACCTTTGCTAGCTAAGGTTGGGGGGAAAGGTTCCTAGGAGGTCCATGCCCTATTGTTGGTTGGCATTACATTCAAGCAAACTTCTAACATAGTTGATTGCATCCTTGCACAATGTCAGCTAATAGAACCCTTACCAAAGTACTTTGAATGCAAGAGTTCACCCACCTATGTGCTCCCTGCAAACTCCTTTGTGCACCTTGACGAGCACCCTCTCAGCCTCTTGGGGTGTCAATTATCAGAGAAATGGTTGGTTGAAGGGCCTATGGTATATGTGGTGGTTAATTATGTAATACCATACTTGATGATACTTGACTCTTTGAGTCGCCATGGGATCAATTGAGAGCATCTAATCTCTTTTATAGTGCAGGATCTTGTCCATCCAGCTCAGTTCCTCCTCGATTACGAATATGTCATGCTTTTCAATGGTTCATGTTGATAGTGTCTCGACCAATGGCTAGCCCTCCCTTAGAGCTCGAGTGGAATCTAACCCAACGAGTGCATCAACCTGGGTATCTTCCGCACGTGGGACTAGTAACACATTGAGTCAAGAGAAGCTATGAGCTAACCTTCGTACCTCGGTGAGGTACTTCACCATGGTCACGTCTCGGGTCTCATAGCTCCCCTCTACTTAGCTCACAATTAGTTGTGAGTCAATGAACACTGTTAGGTCTTGGACCTGAAGCTCTCGGGCAAGTCAGAACCTTGAGAGAAGTGCTTTATATTTGGCCTCATTATTAAAGATTTTGGATTCAAATCGAAGAGTTTATTCATACACCTTTCTGAGGTGGTAGAACCATCTACAAAAAAGATCCATGTTGAGGTGGTGTGACTATCAGCCTCAACCCTAGGTGAGAGAGTTAGTTCTAAGATAAAATTCATTAATGCTTGAGCCTTTATGGTAGTTATCGACACATATTGGATGTCAAACTCGCTCATCTCTATTGACCACCTCAGTAGTCATCCCAAGATATCAAATCGAGAAAGGACCTATATGAGTGATTGGTCGGTGGTCACCTATATGAGGTGCACTTGAAAATAGGGACAAAGCTTCCTCGCCTCCAGTACTAGTGCAAATGCCAACCTCTCGGTAGGGGGATACCATTCCTTGAGTCTATTAAGGGCATGACTGACATAATAAATAGGCTTCTGGATTCCCGAGTCATTCTGCACCAACACCGAGTTGATAGTTTGCTTTATGATGGTGAGATAGAGACTTAGGGTTCTACCCGAGATGGAAGAGAGCTGTGGTAACTGGGCGAGGTGGTGCTTTAGCTCTTCAAATGCCTCTTAACACTCTTCAGTCCACGGGAAACCCTTTGAGTTTTTTAATATATAAATGAATGGTAAGCACTTATCATTGGGCTAGAATATGAATTGACTAAGTGTCATTATTCACCATATTAATTATTATACTTTTTTTATCGATTAAGATGAGTGCATCTCTAATATGACTCACACCTTCTAAATGTTGACATATATTCCTCTCTAGTGAATAATGAATTTGAGGATTTTTTTCAAATTAACTCCAAAAACACATTTAGATAGGTTAAGACATATGTTGAATCTCTTTAGAACTTGAAATGTCTCGGCTAAGTCTATCATATGTGAGTCTGTCATTTGACTTTTGACTATCATGTTGTCTACATACACCTTAATTTTCCTCCCGATTGGGTGCTTGAACATCTTGTTCACCATTCATTGGTATGTCACGCTCATATTTGTTAACCCAAATAGAATGAGTCGATAGCCATATATGCTTAGGTTTATGATAAAGGAGATATGTTCTCGATTCTATGGTGTCATCCTTATTTGATTATATCCTGAAAATGCATTCATGAAGGTAAAAAGCTTGTGACCCAAGATTCTATGGCTCCATCGGCACTGCCTCGTGTTGGGCCCTCTTTGGTAAGGAGATTGCTATCAAATAACACTGGCACGATCTTTCGTGTTGCTTCTTAATTCTCTGATATCAATCCTTATTGGGAATTTCATCACCATATGATAGGTTGATACCACTGCCCTTAGCCTATTGAGCTTGGGTCGATCAATGATCAGGAAGGCATGATACATCAGGGTGTTTGAGGTGCCATACAATAACATCTAGACATGGAAGGCAGTAGTGTACTCTACTGGGTAGGTATTATCATCAAAGGCCTATAGTGATGGGAGGCAAAAGTTCATTAAGATTAGCTCATCTTGGATGTTCTGAGTGAATGAAGACTGACTTGAAGTTGGATTATCTAACTTTTCCCCCTTGGGATTGTTAGAACTCTCACCGTATCTTTTCTAAATGTTGGTCCATATGCTATAGTTGGATCCTCATAAAGTTACCTATCGAATCTGCTGACCAGGTCTTGAATTCAAACAGAGCAAAGTGATGGTATGATAGTGTATTGAATTTCATTGTTGGAGAGTGAGACGCTCCCTCAGTTAGTAGTTCAATAATCTTGGGTGATCCTAAGATGTTGGCACCGCATTGGGCGGGAGGATCCCAACAAGCGCTGAAGCTAGTGGCGATTGAGGTATTAGTTGAGGTTGAGATGGTACCGTTGCTTGTTGGGCTAGTTGAGACAAGCGCGAGGCGATAGCCTACATCATGCCCGTTAGCGTATGCACCTACCGAGTGAGATTATGGAACACCTTGGTAGGGACAAGTAGATGGTTGAGGTCATCTTTGGGGGCGAAAGGCTTAAGGTCATTGAACAAACGATAGTATCACATTAGTGTTTACACCAAAGCGGACATAACCATTTGAGGGAAGGATGAAAGTTTCCTCCCTTAAATAAAAGTGCTACGGGTCGAAGACACAACCTCCTCGTTAGAGCGTTCATTAGGGGGATTGACGAATGGACATTTTTACGATATCAAGTTCTCCTTCTAGCACAAAAAATATTAAGAAAAATCATCATTGACATTTAAGTCGACCCAATGTGGTCCAACACTAAAGACAGGAATTTCTAAGGTGGTAATCGAAGTGGCTTCGAGGTAGAAGTGTCAAGCTTTCGATGCGCCACTTGCAGTAAGATCGATGTCGGAGGAAATTTCTTTATCCGGTTCATTCGATGCTCAAGTTAATCACCAAAGTCCTTTTTGAGTATAGGTATTTCTAAAAAAAGAGTCCTCCCGATGTAGCGCTAGGATTACCTTTTATACCTAGTTTTGGAGGAGACAACCTATAACCGCTCCAACATTTCCCTCTTGGTATTTTGACCATGTGAGCGGTAGAGGCGAGATAGCCCCGAACGATTTGTCTTTGACTTTTGTTCACGTGAGTAGACGGACGAGCAGTGACCTGAACATTTTTTCTTCCATAATAATTTTCACATGCTGCTTATGTGATGTTATGTGATGGATAATAATGATCGACTATTAATATATTCCCTATCAAGTTCAAAATACTCAAGCATAAGTTAATAATAATAGGATTTTTAAACCTTTACAAGTTAATCCAAATCTTTATTTATCTAAAAACTCCTACCACCCTAATAAAAAAAATTGAACAATCTTATATACATTACTGGAATCAGATGCGGATCATCTCATGATTGAAATCATCAAGAAAACCTCATTCCCCGGCTGTTCTTCTCACCAAAAATACTGGAAGATGTTTGGTTCAATAAAGCCAAAAGCCCCGTCTGCGATGCAGCTTGGTAGCAGGGAACGGCAGACGCCAAGCAGGTAGATCCTCTCACCCAGAACGAAGAGGACCTCTGCAGACTCTCAAGTACATGCAACAACCCTGGTAATTCCACCTTCTCCATGGGCAGATAAAACTTTCTAGGCACTGTGGGAGGACAGTGGACAGCGGAGGTAGGAGAGGATGGATTAATGTCTGCAACCACCAGTGTGTCATTCACACTCGTGCATACAACATTTACATCTCTGCTATTTATCCTTCATCATTTCTCCATCTCTTTCTCTATCCATCTTTCTCTCTGTCTGCCATTCTAACTCCCCCATAAAGATTCCACATCTTCTTGGCTTCGCTGTAACATCCTGCAACTCGTGCGTGGCATGCACCGATTCTCCTTCTATGGAGTTATAGAGAGCCCCCTGCGATCAGCTTAAGCGCATCTTCTTCCTCCTCCTCTGCAGGTTATAGCGTCGGAGTGAGATGGGTCGGTCTCCGTGCTGCGAGAAGGTGGGGTTGAAGAAGGGGCCGTGGACTCCGGAGGAGGACCAGAAGCTGCTCGCCTACATCGAGAAGCACGGGAATGGGAGCTGGCGAGCGCTGCCTGCCAAAGCCGGTGAGCCAGCTGAGGTCTCGTCGTCGTCATGGTAGCTGAGTGTTGTGATCTTTGATCCCTGGTTGCAGGGCTGCAGAGGTGCGGGAAGAGCTGCAGGTTGAGGTGGACGAATTACCTGCGACCTGACATCAAGAGGGGAGAGTTCAGCCTGCAGGAGGAGCAGACCATCATTCAACTCCATGCCCTCCTTGGAAACAGGTGATCGACACACCTTGATCTTATGCATCAGTTCGGTCACTCCATCCATATCATGGCTTTATGATGGTTGATGAGACTGGTTCCAGATGGTCTGCGATTGCCACCCACCTGCCCAAGAGAACAGACAACGAGATCAAGAACTACTGGAACACCCACCTGAAGAAGCGGCTGGCTAAGATGGGCATCGATCCCTGCACCCACAAGGCCAAGAGCGACACCCTCAGCTCCGGCGACGGACACCTCAAGAGCGTTGCCAACCTCAGCCACATGGCCCAGTGGGAGAGCGCACGCCTGGAGGCCGAGGCGCGGCTCGCGAGGGAGTCGAAGTTCCGTGCGGCGTCCAATTCCATGATTCTGCAGCAGCAACAGCAGCAGAAGGGATCGTCGTCGTCGTCGTCCTCGACCATCCCGCCGCCACCTGCTCCTCTCACCACCAAGGCCAGCGGACTCGACATCCTCAGGGCATGGCCGGGGGCTAACCAAGGCGACAGGATCGACCTGGAGTCGCCCACTTCCACCTTGAGCTTCGCGGCAGCCGGCGTCGGGTTTGTGGACGCCGGCGCCGGCGCCGCATCCGCCGCCAGCCATCAAGGAGGCGTGAATTTGGAGCCGGAGAGAGCGGAGTGGAGGAGCTTGGCGAAGGATAGAGTGGACAGCTTCACAGGCTTCTCCATGGAAGCCGCATTTGACGGGGAGGCGCCATGGCTGTCGGAGCCATACTGGGGACAGTCCGGCGCAGGATTCACCGGACTGCTCCTGGGTGACTCAGCGGCGCAGAAGGCCTCGGACTGCCGCGGTGATTCATACGCAAATGGACCTGAGACCTGCGCCCAAGAGGAGGCAGAGGAAGAAGAAGAAGAAGAAGAGGAGGAGGAGGTGGAATTGGAAGGAGAGGAGGAGAGCAAGAACTACTGGAACAGCATCCTCAACTCGGTCAACTCCTCATCCTCTTCCAACTCGCCACCACTGTTCTACGACTGAGCTCGCAGCGCAAGCTTTTCTACGTAAAATGTTAACGCACGTCTACTGCAGCGGCGATGGCGCTCTGCAACAATAAGAAAGAAGTATAAGAATAAGAATGGGTGGTGATGTGAATATATCGTCTTGCGATCTCCTCTTCTCTTCTCTCCTTAGATTTGTTGTCATGGGAATTGTAATGTTTGAAGCACATATATAATATATTTGTAGTTCCAAGAAAGGTTTTATTTTGTTAAGAGTACCACGAATTGAGGCTTGACAAAAGGTACGAATCACACAGATGAAATGAAACCCTGTGCAGTCGAATGCAGTGCACAACCGGCATGAAGGGACAATCCACATGCCCATAACTCCATGAAGTGTTTTAGGGGTGTGTCGCCCAATGAGACTTTGTGGGTCAAAAGGGGAGTCTCATGGGAAGGACAATATATATTAATGGTGAGAAAGGATCTCTACCTATCTTCATGTCTTGCATATTCACAAATGTACATGAAATTAACACAGCCAAAAAGATACGAAGCCAGTGTGTTACTCTAGAGAATGCTAGTTGTAGTTATTACATTCTAACTAACTATCAGCACTATAAGATTACAAGAATTAGCAATATGTTTGTTGATTGCGATAAAGAATTCAATACATGAAAAGATTTCAATATTAATCTTTCAAAAAATTCAAGTTACAGCGAGAAAAAGACGAGAATGTACCCAATCACAATCTATAATTTTGTTCAGCCAAGGAAAATTAAATCATATTTGTCCAAACCAAACCAATCTCAAATATAGTGAATTGACAAGACCCATCATGGTACCAATATCACATTTAGTCATCAGGTACCTCATGCTACAAGAGAGAGAGAGAGAGAGAGAGAGAGAGAGAGAGAGAGAGAGAGATTTTATTACATTCGACCAAGCCAAAAACACTCATGATGTACATACATCGCAAAGCTACACAATTTAGAGCAAGGGAGATTTGAGCTGCTGCTTACAGGTTCACCACAGTAGAGTACATGTTCTTCCATAGAGGATAGGTAAATGGGCCTTACCACAATAACCTGTCATCAGTATAATGCTCGCTGGTTTTTCCTGCCATAAGTCTCGAACAATATGGTCGTGTAGATGTGGTCCATGAACAATGAACAAGTAGGCTGTCAGTAAACCGTAATATTTCTTTTACCAAAAGTTAAGAATTTAAGGCATCATCCTACCAAAAGGATTATGTAAAAAAATATGCACGCATAAATATGTTTATTGAACACAGTTTACCAGTCAAGATGAACCGACCGACCAAGCAAGCTAAGATCCGAGGCACATCCTCGTCCAAGGCACTCAAGGAGAGCAGCATACGGTCAGCTACACGGAATATCACAAGTTGCCGTCGTGGCATTTAAGGCTGTGTTGCTGCTGCTGCTGTTGCTTCCCCTCCCCCCATGGCTTGCAACACAAGCTGGAAAGCCAGGTGAAGAAGGGCTCGTCTTTAGCATGAGAACCATCACAAGTGGCCTTAGCACCATAGAGTTGCTGAATTGTGATGTCTCTCCCCTAGCACAACTCTGGGAGAAAAATTAAGAAGCTTGTGGTAACATGTTAGCAAATAATACATGAAGTAAAATAAGCAAATATTACTGCAAGGGATGCCAAGGTGGAAGAAGAAAGTTAATGGGGAAGACAGGAATAGTAAAAAAAAATGAAGTTGCCCATCCTCTAAAGGCATTAAACGCAGCTCGAAGTACAACCAATTGCCAGGAAGGATCATGGCAGGTCGTTCTGTCATACTCCAAAGCTCTTGGAGGATATGCTAATCTATTTCCAAAAAGTCATCATCATGTACAGGAAAAAGAAAAGGAAAATATGCAGACAGGCTTGCATTCTATTGGCTGCCCATTTAAAATGGATTTTAACAGGTAAATTCTACCATGGAACATCGGTTTTGCATGCTACATAAGTGAAACCACATTTACAGTCACTACAACAATACACAAAGATCAGGCAAAAATTTAAGAAGAGAAGGAAAAAGAAAATGAGACAAAGAAGATCTGAGAAGGCATGCAATTCTGTGCCTTATATGTTCACCAACCAAATTAACATACAAGTGAAAGGACAGTGTCACTTTATATATCTCTTCTCCGGCGATTCAATTCTCTTAAATGAGAGTATGTGCATAGTGAAAATATATTACATGCTAAGCTCAAGCAAAAGGACTGTTAAAAATATCTCCCATTTAATGGCCTCCATAGCCACTTCTTTCTACAGAGAGCAGAACATGTAAATTCCAAGAAGTGGTTATAACTAAAAATGGAAATATGCCTGTCAATGCAAGTAAACCACATGGAGAAGATGAGTGGATGTTGCATAGAGAAAATTCAAACAGCGTTTAGACAAAAGCAAAACCAAAATATGTCCCAAAGCTTACAACTTGATGCCTAAGAAATGAGCATGAAACCAAATTGACCCTACCAAAATGACGAGAGGTAATAGGAGTTTATCATCGACCTGGTTTTGAAATGATGCACAATGACTAAATGTTAGACCGTTAAAATTCACTCAATCAAATTTCTCACCTGAAAAAAATTTCACTTGATATGGAATCATAAAAGAAAAAAAAAAGGAAAAAGAAACATAACCTGCAAGCCAAAACTGGAAATTAACATTTGTCTTCTTGAACACAGTCAACATTCCAATAACAATCCTGCACACTGTGAAATTATAAACTGGGATAACTTATGACATCCATACATTTAGCATATTGAAGTTCTGTTGTGGCACTTCCAAAAGCTGGTAACTTTTTTTGCAAGAATATTTTCGATCAGGTAATATATAAAGACCTGATTCATGCCAATCTACAAAAAGATTCATATGACTTAGAACTTATATTTTGCTCCTCTTCTGGAGCCCAAAAATGGTACATGACTATATAAGCATGTGTAATTTCAATTAAGAGATAATAACCTAATAGGGCGTTAGGAACTTATAAGCATACTAGGAACCTATCCTACTCAGTCATTTATATCAATGTATTGTATATATGTGGGATGGATATTATAAGGCTACATCAAGTATTTTCAATTAATGTTTGCTAACTATGGGAATGGCTGTTATGTTTCTTAAAAGCTTCACATTTGACGAAGACAGATCATCTACATTGAATGTGTACATGAATTAGTTACTAATATAGAAGTGTCCCCATACTCTCAGTTAAGAGAAGTCAAGATAGTTACATTGATCTCTTAGTTTTCCAATAAATCAAAATCTTAATACTCATTCCACATTAATTCCTTGATAAATTATACATCACTAAAAGTTTGTTGAGTTAGGAGTTCAAAGCAATTTACAAAATTTGATTTCAAGTTTTCAAGAGAAAGTTACATTCAGTTCTTTCTACAATGATTAAGTAATTGTTCTATCGAGATCGTAAGAAAGTTATTCTCACCTTTTGGAGTTCCTAGATGACTTTGAGTTATTACAAATATTTAATTTAGTTTTTATTTATTTTGATCTTGAAAATGTTGAAGCATTAATAACTCATGCTTGGAGGTTTGTTCCAAGCCTAACACTATAAATATCATGTCTTGAAAGCCTTAAGAGGGAATACGAGAATAAATTTTTTTTCAGAGGTCTTATTCTTCTCTTGCAAATCCATATCTCTTTGGTGGATACTATAGAGTTGTTAAGCCCTATACTCTTTGGGTGATGATATATGTATCACTTTATTTGGGTAGTGAGCTTGTTATCTTCTGTTTTATCATTTTCCACTCATTTCATTTCCATACCTACCATGTCTGTGCCATGTGCTGTTTTGCTTTTCGTCCTAAATTCTGTGTCCATGTCCATGCCTTATATCCCAAGTACCTTCAATATTATGCTTATGCCTCTGATCTATCCTTGAATCCAAAGTATAAACAAGAAGAAAGAAAGAATAATTATAATATATGCCAGATTCAAGATTATCCATGTTAAATAACATAATTCTAATGGTTCTGAACAAATCTGACTCTAATTGTCACTGCTTTATTCTGAAAGAATTTCTGCCAATTTAAGTTCTGGCATGTTAGGAGAAGACAAAAACACTCAAAAGACATGCAAATTTCAAACCAAGAAGTCGCTTCCCATGAAAATGCCAAGATTAAATGAGCAACTATACTTACCACCCACTTACCCTTTTCCAACTGATCCACCAAGCGAAGGAAGCTGTTCCTTCGTTTAGAAAGAAGCCTAACGAAGAACCCTCCCGAGACTTGACAAGCACATGGAGAAGACGGTGCATACTCCCTAGTGGGAAGATCGCATGGTGATGCGGCGGCCGTGTCCTCCACGTAGCCGACGAGATCCATCAAGAAACCTACCAAGAGCGAGGGCGGCGGAGGAGGAGAGGAAGAAGCGGATGAGGACGGGCGGGATCGAGGCTCGACGGTGGCGCTCATTGCAAGAGATGGCGCGGCGATAGTGATAGCCATCGATGACCACCGGAAAAGACGGCACCCCATTCACATTAATCTCCCTCCATCGGTGGCTATTACAAGAGAAGAGTATATCCTCGGAAGCCGATTAATTATAACAGACAGACGTTATTAAGCCGATTAATTATATATATATATATATAGCAATTTCTATATGTTATTTATGGGAGAAAAATCATTATAATTTTGACAATGTATGTGAAAAAACTAGAAAATCTTTTGCCTTTGAGAGAATTGAAGTTTCATAAGACTATGGAGTGAAAACAAAGAAACACAATCAAAATAACAAAAAATAATGAATGATTCATTGCTGAGATAAAATTAATATTACAATATTATAGTTTTGATATGAATAGTTACAAGTAGTGATCAAACATCTTTAGAACACTTTTGCTCTTGTTGATAAAGATCATAATACATATCAGGACGAGTCGTCCTTACGACTCATATGAGTTTCCGAATGTTCTTAATAGTTGTGGGATGTCACATGTTAGCATAACATCAACAGCCCGTATCAATTTAGGCTTCAGCTTCTTAAACTCATCGATGTTGTGGCAACTTAAAGCCTCTTTGAAGCGTTGGACATCAGGAAAATCCCCAAGTGGAAGATTGTATTTCCTTTGAACCTGTTTCAGAAAGCTATTAGAGTGAGTCTACATGCATTTTAAACTGTCCAATCTAATTCGAAGAATGACACATAGTAATCCGCAAATATTACATATCAGGTTGTGTGATCTACACAGAAAAAGAAGCATTACCTCTACAAACTCATTCTCTAGATTATCAATGAGTCGTCGTTGAGCCGTCGCCTTGCCCAATATTAGAGGCATCTTATTCTTTAGATGGCTAATAATATAAGCATGAACTTTTGCTGCTTTGGCCCTCCTAACAAATGCACGGATCTGCAGTCAATAATGACAAGTAAACTAAATCGGATTACACAGTTCATATAAAAGATATATGGGTTGAAGTTGATTGAAGGTTTAAAATACCTTGAGATCACAAACGTTGTTCGGAATATCTCTTACATCTGAAAGAAGGTCATTTTGATCCCTTTCAAACACCTTCTTCAAGATTGGGTCAACAACCACATTATTTGATGGTTTGTCATTGAATGAACTGAAAATTTATAATAAGAAAGTGAAGAAATTAATCTACAAAAGTAAAAACCCTGATTATTGCAACCAAGAAAGAACAACTTGATACTCCAATTATGAAAGGAATATCCTTGGGAATATAAAATGACTTGAAAGCATACTCTAAACCAAAAAAAAAAAAAATCATTATTTTTCAGATAAGCCAAGAACGCACTGCATGATGACAAACTAGTAAATGCATATATTAGCAATGACAACATACCCATTATAAATGCGCATCACCTCAGGTCTATTCGGAAGAACCTTTGCAAGTGACCATATCAATGCACGATTAACTCTAATAAGCTGCAAAATAAAGACAACTTAACTAGCTCAGAAATGCACAGTGATTATATCAGTTGTTAAAGAAAACAAAGTGACCGGAAAGGGGGATAGAAGTCATATCCTTATATCAAAAAATGACAAACTCAAATGAAACTATCTCACCTGTTCTGTGTCAACTTGGTCTGCCTTGTTTAAAACCACACGTATCTTGTCCTCATGACCATGCAGAGATCTAATGACATTGTTGAACTCATCACTTATGTCAATCTTATGAGGATCAAACAGAAGAATGATGAGGTCACATTTTGCTGCAAACCACGAAGTAACACCAGTAAAATCATAACTACGTTGAATTCGTTGTTTTTCTCCAGAAAGAACCCCAGGAGTGTCGACAAATGTGATGCGTTCCAGCAGCTACGCAGAAATCATAGTAGTTAGTAACTGCTATATTATATTCATGCCTAAAAACATAGATAAAATAAGATCATACCGAATGTGGCATTTGTGAGCACTCAAACTTTGATAAAAATTCAGTTCCAAATTTTGTGAGGCCAGTGAAAGGCATATCTGTTTGAAGAGCTATTGTATTCCCAAAAATGGTCCTTTCATTAGGTCCTGACTGAAGAAGTAAAACAAGTGAACAACTTTCTCTAAAAGCCCTTCTATTAACTTCTCAAAGAAATCCAGAATATGACAATTCAAACATTATATACAGAAATTTTGTTGTCATATGTATAGATCTTTACCTTAATGAAATCCTCAATCTTTTCAAAAAAGTTTTCTTAGGTGAGGACATACCTTTGTTAAGAGTCATCTGTTTCTAACAGTCTGACAATTCAGCTATTATAAAGGCAACAAACGCTTCACCATTCTGAAAAGTTCTATATACTTATACAACCTATACTGCTCTATCTATTTAAAACTTAGATATTTAAATATTTCTTGTCAGCAAACTGTAGCTTATGTTGATAATATTATCTTATAAAATTAGTAACTTAATTATTAAAAATAAAAATAACTAGCATCTTACTTAAGTATAACTATCTAGACAACAATACTAGCTTACACAAAATTCATGAAAGGCAGATAAAAAAATAAAACAAAGACTAGAGTAACAATAATCAAGGTTTTACCATACCGTCACAACAATAAACTTATCAGTAGTAGGCTCAAGTCCAATACAAGCACCTGCATGAATTATGGAGATGATGCCATGAGGTTATTCTGGTTTGCACTAACACATAAGCAAAAAATTTTAGGAGATGTAAACAATTTAAAAAACCTGGGTAGTCACACTTTAGTAAATGCTTTATGAATGTTGTTTTTCCAGTAGAATATTGGCCTAGGAGCATAACCATGGGCTTAGCATCAAAATCACTGTTTGTCTACAAAGCGACAAGATATATAGCATCACATTTCGATGGGGTTATTAATTAAAATGGCCTATTAATTTATAGTCTCATAAGCAAAGTACAATAAATTTAAAACGCACCAACAGGGGAGAAGCAAACTCATTGAACTGATAAGTAATTTCCAAAAGCTCCAATTTTTGGCTGTATAATCTCTTCAAACCATCAATTACCTTTGTTGAATGCTTATTTATCTAAGCAAACAATTGAAAGCAAGTTAGAAATACGCAAAAATACCATATTCCATTATTTGGTGAAATCTTCATTCAAACTTACATTGAGTAAGGTATCTAATCCTCCCATCATCGGAGGATTTAATTTCTGTAAATCTGCAGGAGCAAGATAATAGAAACAGTGATGCATTTTATTCGAAACTATCCTAAGCATGGACCATGAGATTTAGAAGATAGATCCAAAGTTTACCAGCATGAGCAAGTGAATCTTGTGTGATCTCATTCCCTGCTTGTGCTAGTGCCACAAGCTGCCAAAAATCAAAAGGAAGTGTTCAATTGAGCAAGATAATCGTGCACCACTCTGAAAATTAACTAATGCATAAGGTAGCACAACAAGAAGACCTTCATTGCTGTCGCAAACTCCTTGAAGCCCAGATAACCTTTCCTTTTAGAGTCTGCAGTTGCCCATATCTTCATGCAGAGCGTGATAAAGAAGAAACAATAGACAATTATATGGTTGTATATTAGAGAAAAAGATTGTCAAGAGGGCAGCAAGTATATAGCTAAATCTAATAACAGCCAACCCATGCAAACATATTAATCACCTAACAGTCTAATAAATCAAGATGAAGACAAAGTCTATAGATCCATCTTTACCGACTAAGCTAGTTAGCATCTTGAAATCGGATAATTTTACCTTAACTAAATCCCATAGTCTCATAAATTCATCTCTATCACTGTGATTTAGAGTCTGTCCCTAGTCAAAGCTACCAACAATATATCCACTTTATCAGTATACACATCTAATATAATAATATCTTAAATATGTCAAGTGAAATTATCTTTACAAGCACTAAATTAAGACTTACATATGGTCGCCAATTAGAACATTATAAACTCACCTAATCCAATTATCACCACATTAATAACTATACAATCACATGTATCTTTAGTTTCATCAATGAATCTATTAAAAAACAATCTTTTGCAATAACCAGCATTTATTTGTACAATAAATTTTGATTTGAAAAGAAAAGCGAAATAGCGCATCTATTCATTTCTTTTCTTTATACACTAAAAGATATGCCTACAATAATTATGAGACCCTTATTCTCCTCGATAACCACATCAAAAGTCTAGTAAACTGACACACAACGAAGAACACTAATAGCCGAAATAGCGTAATGAAACACCGCAAGAAGATTATACAGTCAACAGAAGTAGAGATGAAATCGCCGCATAAACGAATTAGAAACTGATTTACCTGCTTCAGAACACGTCGAGGTAAATTAGACATGGCAAAAAAGCATATGGCATCGGTCTCTGTGATGCGGCCATCTCTGTCTATCATGATGAAGGACGGAAAATCTCAACAACACTGTGAGCGGCACCGAAACAATAAGGACGAGAGAGCAACGCGCAGTGGCGGCAAACCTGAGTCGACAAATGAGAACCATTTCCCGTAGATCCTGTCATGCTCTTCACTGATCAAAGAGGCGGTGTCCATTGAACAACGATCGAGTGCAAACGCCCAGCGAGTGATCGGGTAGACGAACCACGAGCCGTCAGACAAGATGGGGGAGGAGGCGAAGAGAGGGACGAAGACGCGCGAGCGAGCCGTTGTGGAAGGGGATTTCAGCTTGTTTCGTCTTTTATGCCTTCGGATCTTGTCCAAATACAGTTTCACATTTGGAAATGTCCGATTCCAGTTTTGGAAACGTGGAAGCCATCCAGGGACATTCCACCGTCAGCTACACGTCGGTTGATGCAATTATGGGATTCGATGCAAAATAGGCACATCAACCGTAATGCTAAATGATACGTAGTGGCGTAGATAATGCTTCTATGTGGGAAGGACGTGAAATGAAATGAATATTTTTGTCTATTGTCTTGGATTGGTACATGAAATGAATAGATCTAATTATATTATTTTTGTTATGGCTATAGTATTTTTGACATATCCACAAAAAATACTTTTATTGGAGTTTAAAAAGTATAATACAAATAGATCTAATGAATAAATACCCAAAATATAATACAAACA